TTTGGGGAGGTTCCCTGATGTTCTCCTTACTTGCTGCGGCCCTTCCTTCTCCTGGTCTTTGGCTTGGTTATGTCTTTTGGCTTGACATCCACCGAGAGGTGAACTCGTTATGGGGTAACAACAACAGTTACTGTTCATATACTTCTCCCTCGTTCTTTTTCTCTCTGTCTGGAAATGCAGTCAAATGTATTTTAGACCTTCCCACTCTAGTTCTAGTTTTCACTTCTCTCTACTTGCCTTTTTTTTTTTTTTTTTGTCTCTGCTGCATTCTGGAGAATTTATTCTGACCTTTCTCCCCACTCACAAAAATCTCTTTAACTATGTCTAACATCTATTTTATTTCGTTTTCCTTTTCTTTTTTCTTTTCTTTTTTTTTTTTTTTTTAGTCAGCTATGTTATTTAGGAATTTCCTATTCTTGGCATATATTTTCAAGACAGTCTTATTTCTCTGAGAATACTAAATGTATTATGTCTGATAATTCAAATATCTCAAGTCTTCGCAGGTCACTCTCTGCTTTCTCATGTTTCTGCTGGTTCTTGCTTATGGTTCTTTGTTTTTCTGGGCTGTTGACCTTAGCTGTTTATTGGTTGGTCATTGCCCTTGAGAAGTCACTTTTGGGGATTTCTTGAGGCCTAGGTGGAGGTGTTTTTTCCTCCAAAATAATTTGCATTTGCTTCTGCCATAAGATTGTAACATTTCAGAGCAGAACAATAGAATATTAAATTCTAAATTAAAATTAAATATTAAACTAACATCAGGGCTTAAGGTTTATTGGGTCACCCATGTTACATAAAATTATTGTGAAAATCTACCCTAGGGTTAAAGCATGATTTACAATATTTCTCTGAAATGATTTTCTTTTTCTCTTTTTTTGCTTTCTTTATTAAGCACTAGGTCAGCTTTTCCTGCAGTCTCTTTGGGTTAAAGGATAGAATTAAGTTTACTCATTTCTTACTCTCACCTTAAAGGTACATGGTTATCCAGCTTTCAAAATGCGTCAAACTGTACACTTAAAAAAGGGTGAATTTATCATATGTCAACTATATAAACTCACTTAAAAATAAAAAAACACAGTAAGCATTTTTATTAAACTATTTACCAGTTTGGCAAGAGGAAAATGATAGGCCATACACAATTTCACCTGCATTTCCTTAAGGCTGAGCAGTTTTTCACATTTACTGCCTAGGTGCTCATTCTTTAAATGAAATGTTTACCAGGCACCTAGCAAATGCCTGGCACTGGATATATATAGATGAATAAAACGTGGACACACTCCTTGAGGAGTTCTTTATTTTCCCAACTCTTCATGTCTCTTCATACTTGTTACTAGAACTAGTAGGAGGAACAAAGAAATAATTTTTCCTTGACCATAAATAAAATACAAGCTCAATAACAGAAAGCTAAAATAACATTTGAAAAAACATAAAAATAAAATCAGACCCATGTCCAATTCTAACATTCACAGATAGCCACTTGAAAACTTTATGTAT